CAAGGGAGGGGCAGAGAGAGAGGGAGAGAACCCCAAGCAGGCTCCTGATCTGTGGAGAGCCCATTAGTGGCTCCATTCCATGACCGTGAGATCATGACTTGAGCTGAAATCAAGAGATGGATGCTTAACTGACTGAACCCCTCAGGCATCCCTGAACATTTGACTCTTGATCTTGGGGTTGTGAGTTTGAGCCCCACAATAGGCATAGAGAGTATATTTCAAGAAAAATAAAAAAGAAAAGAAAAAAGAAAGGAGGGCCTGGGTGGCTCAGTGGGTTAAGCATACAACTCTTGATTTTGGCTCAGGTTATGATCTCACAGTCTGTGAGATGGAGCCCCCGCATCAGGATCTGTGCTGACAGTGTAGATCCTGCTTGGGATTCTCTCTCTCCGCCCCTCTCTTGTTTGAATGCACATGCATGCACTCTTTCAAAATAAATAAATAAACATTAAAAAAAAAAAAACTTACCAAAAAAAAAAAAAAAAGAAAAAAAAAAAATTGTATATTCTACCGACTGAGCCAGCCAGGAGCCCCGGGTTATTTCTAATTTTTGACAATTACAGTGGTATAGCTGTGAACATTCTATAAATACGTGCAAATTTCATTGAATCATTTGATTGTGTCATTAGATTGCAAGGGCAGAGACATGTGTATACACATTTCAGAGACATTGTTGGCAAATTCTTACAATATTCTTGTTGACAAGGTAGAAAAAGGTGGACTAGATAAAAGAATAGTTTGGTGGATTCTTGGTTGATGTTGTAGAATAATGACAGCATAGAGGAAGGTCTATAATGATAGACTACAGGGCTCTGCCTGTCTAGTCAACATTTTTATCAAGACTTCAGGGAAGACCCAGAAGGTATGCTAATCAAATCTGCAGATTTCACAAATTGAAGGCATTTGAACTACCTGATAAAATTAGGGGGAAAATCCATTTCTAGGAGATGGGAATGATGTCTAAAAGTGTACAGAGAAAAGTTACTAGGAATAAATGTTAAGATCTCCAATTTAGGATTAAAAAAATAAATCCCCTTTTTAGGCCCCGAAAGGGGGCTAGGGAGAAAGCTCATTAGTTTGAGGTGGAATTGTAGTTGACAATGAATTCAAACTGAGACCCCACAGTCTATAAAAATGTCTGGAGTGTTCTGTGTGGATCTCATGTTTCCAGGGACATGTTGACAAAGTGAAGTAAATGCAGAGGGAACTGCAATGGTGAGTGGGTGGTCTGGAAGCGACATTTGTCACATAAGAGGTTGAAGAAACTGGGTTTCTAGCCTCAATGGGGGAAGTCTCAAGGGAGACAGGGTGTTAATCATTGATGACGAGAAGGTTTAGCTGGATTCTGTGTCATTCCAGAGAAGAGGTCTAGGACTACTGGGTAGAAGTTGTGAGGAAGAAGTTTTTGGCTTAATGGAGGGAAGAGCTATTGCTCTCTTTAAATATGCAATGAGTTGTCTAATAAATAAAGTATTGAGGTTTTATAGTCTCAGAATTTGAGGCAGAAAATAGGCTGAATAGTGGCCTAAGTTTCATGTGTTACATTCTATGTGTTTAAAACTAATGGTGCTGGGAGAATTGTGGGCTTAATGTTCTTTTTCAGGGACTGTTTAGTGTGGACATAAAGCAAATCTGGGCATCTGATCTGAGTGGGCCTACAAGCTTTGTTGTTCTGGATCAATCTATGTGGGTGCTTCTAGTTCTACAGTGGATGCTGGGCCTTAATGCTAGAACTAGCCTTCTGCTCCAGGAGAGCCTGTGCTGTTGGGTTTGATGACTGACCATTCCAGGGCATCTCTTTAGATGATTATAGGAGTGGCTTCTTCCTCCAGAGCAGGTCAAAGCGGGAATGGAGCTGCACCTGAGTCAAGGGTCCAAGGTAATTTCAGGCCATCTTCTTGTGGACTTGGCCCAGTGTTGGGTGGAGATGGAATTACACCTAGACGTAGGAGGGTAGGGCATTTCTGTCCTTGAGATTGGCTTGTAGTTGCCTCCATATTACTCTCTGTGCTCCCCTCCTTTCCCTGCCTCTGAAGCAGGAGGTTGGGCTCCACTTTAAGAACAGTGCACTAGGCCGGGCTTTGGGGTCTCCGGTCAGCCGTATCCGCTGTGGGTGAGGACAAATAGCCCAGTCAGCGGTGCTGCCTGTCATGCCCATTTCCTGCTCCCATGGCCAAGAGGCCCTGGAGGAAGCTGGACTCTGGGGAGGGTAAGGCCAGCTCTCTCAGGCAGTTCCCCTGCTCCATTTCCTTCCATAGGATTCCCTTCTTCATTCAAGCCATGTCTGTGCTCCGGACAGAGTGGATGAGGGCAAGATGGTGGCTGAGAAAGAAGGGTCAGGTGCGGGAGAGGAAGAAAAACTGGTGGGGAAGCAAATGGATGGATATGGAATTCAAGTAGAGAAGCAGTAGGGATTAAAATGCAAACAATCCATGTATTTTCATTTCAGAATGTGTTGTCGTAAAGGATGATGATGAGTTGTCTTTTCCCTGCCCACGTGTCTGGACAGAGCTGAGAACAGATGCTGTGGCACAAGGCTGCAGACAGACTCCGAACCAGAATTAGTCCCTGAAGCCTGTCTGGCTGGTGGTGTGACTGTGGTTGTTAACCTGAGGGCTAACCATCAGTTTCTGTGAGGTGACCCCATTCCCTTGTGAATATTGCAGCATCAGTTGTTCCTGGCATTTCTTTCTATATTTTATTATTTTTATTTTTTTAAGTAAACTCTGCACCCACCTTGGGACTCGAACTCATGACCCCAAGATCAAGAGTCACATGCTCTACCAACTGAGTCAGCCAGGTGCCCCCCACTCCCTTTTTTTTGGTCCCTGGCATTTCTAATCAGAAATCTGGCTGCTGTGTTGTGAAGCAGCAGCAGAGCCCAAGGGTAAGGTGTAGGGGTGACAGGGTGGAGAAGGGGCCTGAGGCTGTTGAATGGCCGGAAACAGAAGCCCAATGGGGAGTAAAGGATGGGTGATTGAGGAGGATCAACAGAGCTGAAAGAATTGTTGAAGGTGAGATTAAGGCACTTTGGTCATTTTGTAGGGTGTTTGGGAGACTGAATGCATGTCTTTAATTATTAATTTAGCACTGATGAGTTACAGTTTTTGTCCAGCCTAGTGATAAGCTTTGGCTGTTTATTGTCTTGTTTATTAGGCAGAAAGGAAAGTGTTTATATAAGACTAGACTGCCCCTTCTACTGAAGAGCAGAAAAGAACTTGGGCAGCCAGTAGAATAGGAGGGATGTAAAGGAGGGGGTGGGAGGGAGAGAGACAGATGAGTTGTTCTCTGAGGTTGGTCCTTCCTGCTTCTCAGGACGAAGATGCTTCTGAGGCAGTGTGGTGAGGTCAGGACACAAGAAAATAGGGGGACTAGGGACAACGAGGGACATGTCCCTGCCAGAGCTGAGACAGGAGTATTTCTTCCCATGTTGGTAGCCTGAAGCAGGCAAGCCCAGCTCCAGACCTCACTTTCCAAAGCGGTAAGGCAGGCTGATTCTGATCCTGCCCTTGGATCTCTTGGAACTGTTAAGCCCTCTCCTGGTGCTCGTTACTGAGCTGGGAAGGCAGGTGCAGTGAGACGATTCTGCCACCGTGAAGGCGTGCTCCAAGTGCTTGCCTGCCTGCTTAAGAGGCTGGTGGGGGATTGAGAACATTCGGCTGAGTTTCAGAATCATTTCTTTTGACTTTCTTCCCTGACACGTCCTGGGACTATAGGTCAACTTCACAGCATGTGTGGGCTTCCCTTCCTGAATTTTTTCTGAAGTAGTGAACTGAAACGTTTTTCGGGGGTAATGGATTTCTCCAAGATTCTGACATAAAGCTATGGACTCTTTTCTTAGAAAAGTGCATATACTTTGGACATATGTACATAACCATTTACAAGGAATTTTAGGCATTGTGGAAGCCCTAGGTTAAGAACCCTGGCTCTGAGGGTGATCCATGAACTTTCCCAAAGCTCATCCAGGTAAAGGGGTTGCCTTTACGCTGGGGTAGAAGGACTTGAGGAATGTTTGTGGCTCGGTCTTTTTTTTTTTTTTTTTTAAGAGAAAGAGAGCTTAAGGGAGGGAGAAAGAGAGCGGGAATCTTAAGTAGCAGGCTCCACGCACAGCGTGGAGTCCGATGCGGGGCTCAATCCCATGATCTTGGGATCGTAACCTGAGCTGAAATCAAGAGCCAGATGCTCAACTGATTGAGCCACCCAGGTGTCCCTGTTTATTTTTGAGAGAGAGAGAGAGGAAGAAGAGAGGAAGAGGAGAGATGGAGGCAGGGAGGGAAGGACAGCGAGAGAGAAAATCCCAAGGAGGTTCCTGTGCCATCAGTGTAGAGTCTGATGCAGGGCTCGATCCCGTGAACCTCATGACCTCTGTGGCTCACTCTTTTGCACTGTCAGTCAGGAAAAATGCTATCCCCACTCTATGGGAACCTCAGCTCCAAGAATCTTTCCAAGTACAAAAACAAGCGGCTGAGCTGGCAGGCAGCAGCAGGAAGTCTGGCCCCCATTCTAATCCCTGGCCACATGTCCTGACCTGCTGGGCCAGGCATTGGATAAGTCACAACAGGATTCGTCAAGGTTAACAATACCAGAGTGCTGAATCCTGGAGCCCGTAACAGGAGGTAAAGGGGTGGAAAGCTGGGACAGACCATGACTTTTCAGAGCCAATAGCGGAAAACATCACTAATCCTGTACAGCTACCAGTTGCCTCTCACTGCTGTGAGCACTTCTGTATGTAAGCAAATCCAGTTACTTTGTTTTTCCTCCTGTGTAAGTGCTAAGGGTGTGTGTGGTGCTGCCTACACAGACACTCAGCAGGCGCCTTTGAATGTTATGGTGAGGACATTCTGGGCAGAGGTGTCAAACACACAGCAGGTCAGAACCCAGACACTTCTGTCTTTGGCCAAAGGCTCTGTTTTGATGTCTGCTACTGGAAATATTGCTTGGGAATCTAAGGCTCTCTGGGTGATAGGAACACCAATCAATATCATTATTATTTTTTTCAGGTCTCTTAACCTTCATTAACTGTGCCTATGTCAAGTGGGGAACACTGGTACAAGACATTTTCACCTATGCTAAAGTATTGGCATTGATCGCCGTCATCATCGCAGGCATTGTTAGACTCGGCCAGGGTAAGACAGAATAGTGACTAACTTTTGTGCAGTTCTTTGAGCCACACTTAAGTGCCCTTTTTGCATTCTCATTTGCTAGTCACCACGGTTTCCATTTTATAGATGGAGGAAACAGGCTACAGAATCAAGTATCCTACCCAAGTCCCTAGCTAGTAAGTTCGTGGAGATTTGCACTCAGACTGACCCCGAAGCCTATCTTGCCAGCTGTTGCAGACTGTTAAGCCCAATGTTGTGGCTGTGATTGTTCTGCCTGTGGAAGTGGGCAAGGGCAGAAATGAGACCCTCGTATCCACTCTCTCCAGTTTCCAGGTCGGAACACCCAGTCCACTACTCTGTTGACCTGGGCTATACCAGCTGCCTGTGGAGTCAGAAAATAGGCAGGAATCGGGCAGCTTACAGGCAGGACAGAACCACATCACTTCTGTTCTACAGCCCTTCAGCTCTGTGGTGGTTTCTTACCCTAGAAAACCACCACAGTCCTTCCTGTCAAGATCTCCATGCTGTTCCCTGTATTCCAGCCCATCACTGTAGAGGTCTCTCTCTTTTTTTTTTTTATTTATTTCTAGGAGAGAGAGAGACAGCGTGAGCAGGGGAGGGTCAGAGAGAGAGGGACTCACAGACTGAAACAGGCTCCAGGCTCTGAGCTGGCAGTCAGCACAGAGCCCGACGCGGGGCCCGAACCCACGAACCGCGAGATCGTGACCTAAGTGAAAGTTGGACGCCCAACCGACTAAGCCACCCAGGCGCCCCTAGAGGTCACTCTTCTGTCCCTGCTCTTTTACCAGTACCCTTGCTGCCACAAGTGTTCTAAGCCCCTCACTTGCTGTTTCTGTCCTTTTCTTCCAGTCCTTTACTGGATCACCTTGAAGGTGAGGGTGGACCACTAATCCTTCTGTCTTTCCATGTTCTCTGGATTCCAGGAGCCTCGACTCACTTTGAGAATTCTTTTGAGGGTTCATCATTTGCAGTGGGGGACATTGCCCTGGCATTGTATTCGGCTCTGTTCTCCTACTCAGGCTGGGACACCCTCAACTATGTCACTGAAGAGATCAAGAATCCTGAGAGGTAGGTGTCTCACCAACTTTCCACAGCAAGAAGGATAGCTATCATTTAAGTTCTGTGTGCCCGACAGCGTATCACAACCACCGAGACTGACTTTAATAGATGGGAGGCCTAAAGTCCAAATACCTTGTCCACAACAGCAGGCTTTTTTACATCTGCTTGTCCATTCTCATGTTAATTAAAGCAGCTTGTACCGTGTGTTCACGTATGCTTTCTCACGGGTGTTCCTTGGTATTCACCCACCCGTATCCCACATAGATAGCGTTAGGTCATAAATGCCCCAAAACTTTCCTGTTTCCTTTTTGACCCTTTCCTTTCTCAAATTTATACTGACATAGTGGTATTGTGTCAGCATCGAATGATACTGGTTCACCTTTGTTATTCTAAACTACTCTATCGTCATGTAGTGACAAGAGCACTGGATAGGGAGTCAAAGGGCCTGGAGCCTGTCTTTACACTGATTTGTTGGTAACCTTGAAGGAGTCCCCTGCCAACTCTGCCTTCTTCCTTATGTATAAATCGAGGGGGTTGAATTATATGATCTCCAGAGCCCTTCCTGGCTCAAAAATTCAATGATTCTTGGAACTAAAAGTATGAGGGAATGCAGTTTCTGTAAACTTTTAAATCAAAATAATAATAAACTTCTCTTGGCACACATCCAGTGTTGGAATTCCAGGAGCAGAGAATAGCAGGACTGAGCCTGGGTGGTGCTTCCACCTACTGGACAGAAGCTGAATGACCCGAGAGTAACCCCTCTCCCCTTCACTGTGAAGAATGCTCATAAAGGTCATTGCTTTATTGGCCCAGAGGACCTTGTCTTTGTGTCTTTCTCTTGGCCACTGGTTAGGATGGCACACAAGGTTCTCAGACTGAGCAAGGGTGTGGAATGGACATAGTTCCCAGGTTGCTTACGTAGATACACACATTGTTCTTCCTAATGACCGCCCTTATTCTCTGGAGACATTAGATTTCACTGTTTGCCTCCCTTATTCCCTCTTAGATTTCTCCACCTCAATACAAATTTCCCAATGTTGACAATCCTGGGAGGGAATCCTGACACTAAAAGGCTTTGGATGTGAAAAAACAACCAAAAATCCCGTTCCCTGTGCTATTATACTGTGACATAATTCTGTTAATCCTTTTTCTGCTTAGCCTTTTCTCTAAATGTGATATTCCTTTCCCTTGATGCCCTTTAAGCTCTGAAGAAAGCAGGCGCTATTATAGGCAACTTTAAGGCAAAAGCAGTGGGGAAATGCACAGGAGGCACCAGCCCTGGATTGGTGTGGGAGTCTAAGGAATAAAGAAAATGGGGATATGACCCTTGGACTAATGCATGAATTATTCTATTTGGTGACAGGAATCTACCCCTCTCTATTGGCATTTCCATGCCCATCGTCACCATCATCTACATCTTGACCAACGTGGCTTATTACACTGTGCTAGACATGAGGGACATCCTGGCCAGTGATGCTGTTGCTGTGGTAAAGGATTTTCACTAGCAGAAGGCTGAGGGTTTGTGGGAAAGTGGGTGGTCCTTCAAAGGAATATGCTTAAGGGCACCTGGCTCAGTTGGTGGAGCATGTGACTCTTGATGTTATGAGTATGAACCCCATCTTGGGTGTAGGGATTACTTAAGATTAAAAAAAAAAAAGTATGCTTAGGATACTGAACTTACAGATCCTGTCAAGCTGGTTGTAAAAGAAGAGTTAGATAGGGCAGGGGCTATCTGGGGGCACGCTTGCCCATACCTTTCATCCTTTTTAGGTCCTGCTAATGACACTTTTCTGTTCCTTTCCCTTAGACTTTTGCAGACCAGATTTTTGGAATTTTCAACTGGACAATTCCATTCGCAGTTGCATTATCCTGCTTTGGTGGCCTCAATGCCTCCATTGTGGCTGCTTCTAGGTAAGAGTGGTGTCTTTTATGGGGTGTGCGGGGACATCATGAAGAGCATGGCAGGGAAAGGTAGAGGACTTATGGGACCCAGAGGGTAGTCACTGGTCCCCAAATGATATTAACCCCTTCGTTCTTGTTTCCACTGGCAGCTTCCAGTTCTTACTAATCTCTATAACTGAACTCCATTCCATATAATTCAAACCCTTCTGAAGGAGGGGATGGCAGAGGAAGGGCTATGTAGTACATCAACCTGCCATACCCAGTGTACCACAAGTTTCTCAGCCTCTCCCATCTTATCCCAAATAGGCTTTTCTTTGTGGGCTCAAGAGAAGGCCATCTCCCTGATGCCATCTGTATGATTCATGTTGAGCGGTTCACACCTGTACCTGCTTTGCTCTTCAATGTAAGTGACCTCAAATGGGGCTGAAAGAAAGCCAGACTGTGGGAAAAACATCAACAGTACAATCAACTGTTCTGGCTTCCCAAAAGCTCTAAGTAGAGTTTAACAGAAAAACTATCTTTAAAAAATGGTAACCTCCTCTGGTCTAGGATAAGGTATATAGTATATATTCAGCATCTACTATGCTGGATATATTATATTGTAATGAAGTGACTGCCAATATAGTAAGAGCTGTAGTGTTTAAGGGAAGAAATGATCTTCTATGGGGCAGAAGATGCATGAAGAAACACTTTTTGGACAAAGTGCATCTGAGTGGTTAGGTCACAAAAGGTGGAGATGGGCTTTAGGCTAAGAGAAACTGGGCAGGGGGACATGTGGCTGGCTCAGGCAGTGAAGCATGCAACTCTTGATCTTGGGGTTGTGGGTCTGAGTCCCACAATGGGCGTAGGGATTTTTTAAAAAGTGTTTAAAAAAACCCCAGTAGCTTGAGTGACAAATGCTGTGAGGAGAGCTGACCTGGGCTTGTGCCTGCAGGGTATCATGGCACTGATCTACTTGTGTGTGGAGGACATCTTTCAGCTCATTAACTACTACAGCTTCAGCTACTGGTTCTTTGTGGGGCTCTCTATTGTCGGTCAGCTTTATCTGCGCTGGAAGGAACCTGATCGGCCTCGTCCCCTTAAGGTAACTCACTTCCATCTTACCTTTGCTCCAGGGGATTCTTGCAAGACAGAAACCTTGGCCTGGGATTTGGTGGGGGTGGTGTGGGGAGACGCAGGGGATGGAAGGGCTCAGTGCTCTAATCTTCACAGGAGAAACTGCTACTGTAGCTATCATGAGCTGTCTAATGTCCAATTGTTTCCTCTATGCCCTTTAGCTCAGCCTTTTCTTCCCCATTGTCTTCTGCCTCTGCACAATCTTCCTGGTGGCCGTGCCGCTTTACAGCGATACCATCAACTCCCTCATCGGCATTGGCATTGCCCTCTCAGGATTGCCCTTTTACTTCCTCATCATCAGAGTGCCAGAACACAAGCGACCTCATTGCCTCCGAAGGATTGTGGGTAAGCCTTTGGGTTTTCTTTTTAAAGTAGGCTCCATACCCAGCATGGAGCCCAACATGTGGCTTGAACTCCCAACCCTGAAATCAAGAGCTGAGCAGAGATCATGAAATCGGATGCTTAACCAACTGAGCCATCCAGGCACCCCTCAAACCTCTGGATCTTCAAGCTGGCTTAGCTATTATATGGCCTTTCCACAAATCAACCCCCTCCCCCCCATCACCTTTGCTATTGGCCCTTCCTGTTAACGGTAAGGCTTAACTGAATTATCCTCCGGGCCAGCCCTGTTCAGTGCCACTTGAGCTCAGCTGACCTCTTCTCAGTTTTGACTCACACTTCTCTTTGTAGCATCCACTACATGGTACCTCCAGGTCCTATGTATGTCAGTTGCTGCTGAGATGGATTTGGAAGATGGAAGAGAGATGATACCCAAGCAACGAGATCCCAAGTCTAACTAAACACCGTCTAGAATTCCAAGATATGGAAAGCAGGGACCTCTTGCTGGATGGAGCCAAGAAGATGAAAAGGAAAGTATACTTCTTTGTTGAAGCTGCTAAGACCAGGCTTCTGGACAGGTGCCTCTAATTTTTGAACTTGCTTTTTGAGAGATGAAAAGTAATTTATTTGTTTTGCTACACGCTGTTCCAGATTTTTAAAAAAAGGGACAATATAGCAGACTGTGGTGGGGAGCATGTCAGGTGTCGGCTTGGTTGTCCTAGTAGCACATTCCCATGTGTGAAGGTGTTCACTCACTCCTTTCCTTTAAAAGGGCCAATCATGCTCCAAACTTCCTGTCACCTTTAGAGAGACATGAAACTGTCACAGGTGCTAGACAATAAAAAGGTTATGTTCTAAACTTTGAGTGGCTTCATTTTAGGTAGGTGTCTGCTTTTAGTGTTCCTCCTAGCCTAAGATCAGCCGCTGGAGGCTGATGCAACCAAAGAGAGCACACCTATGTTGCTCTAGTAAAATGTTGGGTTGTTAAAATATCAACTCTTGTTCTTCGTAATGATCACTAAGAAATTGAGCACATTTACTTCTTAAATATTTTATAGGATCCAAGATAAATAAATGTGGATGGAAAAACCCACGTATGAGGTAGGAGTTTAAGCTCATAATGTCAGGTGACAACACTGAGGCACTTCCCAAGAGCACGGGCAGGAGCAATTACCAATCTATTCTTCAGTTCATTTCTCCATTTAATAAGTGTCACAAAGCAGCATATAGTACAGAGGTGTAGTAATTCTACGGATGGCAAGATCACTTGGCTCTTTTACATGTAGGTGTTAAGAACCTGTTGTGGAATCCACTTTTATACAATGAAAATCTGTACAATACCCCACAGTTTCTACGCCTGGGGCAAGGACTCAGTGACAAACCTTGTTCTGAGGCCTAGCCTTTGAAGAGAGCGTTCCTACCAGTGTGAGCAGGAACAGAACTCAGCCAAGCGTGTCCTGCCAGGGCTGCTTTGACTTTGGGTTGGCACTGCTGCTACTCGGGGTGCTTGGAGGCCGATTCTTTCCAGGCTGTAGCAGAGGGTTGTGGGTAAAGGTCTGTCGTAAGGGACCTAGGGCAAAGGAAGACAAATCTCAACAAACAAAGGAAAGGAAGTAACAAATCACCGCCTTTAGTCTGAAAGGGTTATTTACCCCTGGCTGCTAGTTCCAAGTGATTCTGCATGCGTTGTTCGCGCTCTTGTAGCTTATGTGCCAGTTCAGCATTCTTCCACCCTGTGTAAAGAAGGTGGCAGCTGGGCCTGTACCCATTTTTCGACTATTTTCCCCCAGTCCTTTTCACTGAGGGCAGACCCTTACCTTTTTTGAAGCTTTTTAAGAAGCCTTCCTGCGGAAGTAATTTGTCGGAGTCATGCACCACACGCTGGGGGATTTTAAGGATAGTCCGTACGGCTGGAATCCGGAGGCATGACACCTGGGCCAGGGAAAACAGATTGGAGGAAAGCCAATACATGAACACCGCCTAGAGGAAAAGAAAGAGACAATACTCAGAAGCTGTCATCTGCTCCTAACGTGATGAGAGATGGCAAGGTGAGGTGGAAGAACTTGGAGTCAGTTCCTAAGCCATGACCTACCGTGGGGAAATGGATAGTTATGGGCAAGACAGCTAGGGGCATCACTCTGATTACATTTCTCATCCACTGAAGATCAGAACTTTGCACGCCAGTCTCAGCACCTAACTGCCAAAAAAAAAAAAAAAAAAAAGGTAGCAAATGCACGTCAATTTTAGAGAATCTGGCTCAGATTTCAACCCATCAATTCTATTTCTTCAAGGGGTGAAGAATGACCATTCTATATAACTACTTTACCTCTACTCTCCACTTTGCAGACCTGGTACTTGGCCAGCCTGGGCTTACCTCAAGGACACCCCACATTGTAGCAGTGACTACCAGTGGTAGTATGTAGGTGGGGTCAGACAGTGTGAGATCCTGGAACCAGAGGAGGCCACCTGTCTGCAGGCTGGGCACAGGAAGGTTGGCCATTTCTCTCAAAGCAATGAAGAAGGAGATGAAGATCGGGGCCTAGTACAAAGGATAAACAGTGTCAGGACCATTTCGCAAAGGGGATATTTTCATTACTCCATTACTGAAAACTGTATCACCACCACCTACTTTTGGGGGGTCTAGGGCACAGGAAACACAGGCGTTTGGTATGGGATAAAATCAGAAGGGAAATGTTTTTGCTTACCTGAGTCAGAGGTAGAATAAGAGGTCTAAAGAGTTTAATGTCATGCTTTTTCTGGTAAAATGTCATTTCCGAGGAGGCCTTATAAACTGTGAACGAGGGGAAATTCATGGTTGGGTTAAGTTACATCGGTGGGGGCGACCATCCTTACCATCTGGCCCATGAAATTTCTACCTGACCCTTGCCCAAGAAGTAGGTAGATCTTTACAACTCGCGCATCTCTAGCAACTCCTGATTTTGGTTGTTCCCTTCCCTCAGAAGAATGTCAGGAAGTGCAAACGTGGTCCTCTCCTACGTGCATTCTGCACTTGACTCACACTCAGCATGGTCTCCTGCCAACTTGGCCTCTCTGATTCGAGTGGAAAACTTCTGGATCTCTGGCAAGTGGTTGTGGATCTTGGCTGCTTCTCGCTGGCCCTTCACGATGAGAGGAAACACCAGGCATCGGGCAAGGACCGTACCTGGAAAACATACACTAGGATTGAAGTTAAATTAAAGCAACTTTGCAGCTCGAAGGCTGTAGGTTTTTAGGTCTTCACTGAAAGGGTCTTTCTTATTCCAGTCTCCTTCCTTTGCTAGAAGAGCCCAAAACAAAGGGCAGGGGTGACTTAGCTCCTCCAAGGCTTAGTCCTCTGCTCTGACATCACAATATCTAGCATTAACTTCTGTAAGCAAATGGCCAGGAAAACTGTTTATTTCCTTGAACAAAAGGAAGGTGATAGAAGATCCTTCTCTAGATCAGTGGTTTCTAGTCTTCCATAATCAATGGACCCCCATTCCCAACTTTTAGGCGTACTCCCAATATATTTAACAGATAAAATCAAGCTGCTCTGGATGAGTAGGTAGTCTGGCTACAGAATTGTTTAAGCTTCGGCTTTTGCTTTTCTCAGAGGCACCATTATAGAACGCTGGGGCTCCCAGGAATAAAGTCTGAAAACCACTATCCTAGAAATCCCTAAGGTAGGAAGTAATCTGGTGGCCTACTGCTTTAGTTTCTTTCCTGTTTCTTTTCTTATACTTCCTATTTCCCGATCATTCCAACAAATACTATTTAGTTTATGTAGCTGTATGCAAGCAAGAGGGTCTGGGCTGAAAAAAGAGGGTGGTGGTGGTGGTAGTTGGGGGGATATGGGCTTAGGCTTTATCAACATTATGACACCTGATGTGGAGTGGCAAGAAAAGGGAAGCTAAGGATGAAACAGAATACTAGCCCTGAAGGAGGAGACAGAGAACAGGGCAAGGGCAATGGAAAGGAAAGATGTGGTCAGAAAGACTGGAAGAAAATCAGGAAAGATGATCACAAAAGCCAAAGGGATAGATTTCAAGGTCTAAAGTGTCTAATACAGGACCTTGGTCCCAATGGGGACAAATTGGAGGAGGAAAGATCATGAGCTTACAATCTTCTCAAAGATGAACTACATATAGAACTATCTCTGAGAAAGAACTTTAGCAGAACAGATCTTACACAACTAAGGATATAAAAGAATAACCCATTCTGAGCTGGGCAGGAGGCAGAGACATGATCTAGTCAGGAGCCACAAGTGGAAGGGTATCGTAACCATAAAGGCTCTCTCTGTGAAATTAGGTTCCCAGGACTGGGGGACCTGCACTGGGAAGACAAGCCCCCTACAACAACTGGCTTTGATAACTAGCAAGACTTATGTCTGGGAGAGCTGGAGTGCAGTAGGAAACAGACTCCGCTTTTAAAGGGCACAGCACTTCACTTGCTGAAGTTTCAGTGCAGAGGCAGCAGTTAGCAAAATGTCTGGGCTACACGTGGAAGAGATCCACGGACTAATTTTAGGGCACGTGCTGGCAGGGCAGGGATCTGTTGGAACATTCTCTGGGGATAGAAGAGCTGGTGGGCACCATTTCTGATATTCTCCATCTACTGTGCTAGCACCAGCTTGCTCAGCCCAACTCACCCACTGGCCAGGAGCCCCTCTTAAGTGGCTCCCTTCCTGCACCGACCCCCGCCCCCCGCCCCGTAGGTGGCCTCAGCCTGCACCAGAGCCACCTCCACCAAGAAGCCCCTGCCCTGCATCCTAGAGCACCTGCAACAACTTGGCAGCCAGCTATGCTGGGGCCAAACCCTCACACCAGCCCACCCAACAGTAGTAGTAGCTGGGCCTCTCCAAGAGGATGGGAGACAGTTCTGCTTACCAGCACATCTGAAGAAGCTGTGGTTGAGCTTTACAGACAGCTGTGTCAGGGGACAGCTCTATAAACCATTGAGTCTACACCAGCAGAGACCCAGCCACAAGAGAATGGTGCACATTGCCCACACAAGGAACCTCTAGGGCACCTGGTTCAGGTGACTGGGGAGTTTGTACTACTGGACCTCAGGACACCTTCTGTAAAAACTCACTCCTTCACAATCAGGAGACAGAACTGATCTAATTAATATAAAGAAACACATAGTTTAGGCAAAATGAAAAGTCAGAAGAGTATGTTCTAAACAAAAGAATAAAACAAAACCTCAGAAAAATAACGAAACAAAAAGAGATAAGCAATCTACCAAATATAAAGGTCAAAGTCAATAAACATACTCATTGAACTCCAAAGAAGAATGGATGAACATAGTGAAAATTTCAACAGAAACTATAAAAAAGTACCAACCAGAGCTGAAGAATACAGTGACTAAAATAAAAAGCACACTAGAGGGAATCAATAGCGATTAGGAGATGCAGAAGAATGAACTGGATATCTAGAAGACAAGATAATGGAAATCACCCAATGGGAACAGCAAAAAAATAAATAAAATACTGGGGATAGTTTAAGGAACCTCAAGGATATCAAGTGTACTAACATTGGCATCATAGGGATCCCAGAAGAAGAAAGAAAGGGGCAGAAAACCTATTTGAAGAGATAACAGGTGAAAAATTCTCTAAACTGTCAAAAGAAATAGATATCCAAGTCCAGAAAGCAGAGAGAATCTCAAAAAAGATGAACCTGAAAAGCCCAAAACTAAGACTAATTAATAAAAACGTCAACAAAGAATCTTAAAGGAAAAATTTACAACCCAGAATAGTGTATCCAGCAGTTATCAGGAGAGATAAGGAGTTTCCCAGACAAGCAAAAGCTAAAAGAATTCATCAACACCAACCAACCTTATACGAAATGTTAAACGGAATTCTCAAAATAGAAAAGGCTATAA